GCCTGGAAATAGGGATGCACCAGTGCACTGGTAAGGAAGGTAAGTTACCATCACCAGTTACGTGGTACCATAACTGGTAACTGACCTCTTCTCGATAAAACTCTACGGAAGAGCATGAGAAAATTTCATTAGCTTGAAAAAACTAATTCGAAATTTAAAGTTTATTTGTTAACCTCACCGTTTGTCTGCCATAACATGCCTAGACCAGTGCATCGGTTCGTCGGTGGGCCGGTGAGACTGATGTTCCATCACCATTGGTACATTCCTACCTGGAAATGGGTTACTAATATACTGTCTATTTAGTAAATTGACTTGTTGAAATATTTCAGGTTCAGTTCGTGCATGTGGTTCACAATTATTTTTGGAAATGATGTGGCGTAATGGTTTGAAACATTCTTATCGTTCAATTAATTCGAACGGTATTATAGTGAGTGATTTTATTAACGAAATTCCACCCGTAGAAATAATTGTTAAACAATACTGTGAAGGAACCGATAAAAATTCGTTTTATGATATTTTGCAAAATGAAGAAATTGTTGTACCAAATTGTAATAATAAATATGTATGTGGTCCTTATGTTCGATTTGATTGGAGAAATCCTAATCATATATCACTGAAGACACGAAAATGTTTAAATAAAAATCCATATTATTATATATATGAACAAGCTGTTGGCAAAGAAGTATTTTTTAATAAAATATTAGCAAATAAACAATATGCTATACCAGTAAGAAAATTTGTATTCTTTAAAAGATCGTATATTAGATTTTTTCTATTTTAGGTTGGTGATAAAAATATTACTGAAGATCTATTGACTCATATAATTGATATAAAACAAACAAAATTATCTGTATTAAAAATGTTTATGATTATTCAATCGTATTTTTCTCGTGTTAATTTATTGATTAAAGATGTTTGTTTTATGCTTGATAAAAATGGAAAACAATTTTGGGGTGAAATAAACCAAGATTGTATGAGAATAACGATGATAGATAATAATCAAAATAAAGTTGATAAAGATATATGGCGAACAGGCGGATCATCATCACGTGAACAAATTATGCAGAAATGGAATGATTTTAATAAGATATTTTTTGATTATTTTATGAAAAATAAATTTCATCAGACAGAACTTTTAAATTATAATAATTATTTTTATATCGAAGAAATTGAACAACTATTAGAAAATAAGAAATTAAGAATTCCTTCTAGTTTACAAGAATTATGGTTAAATATACGTGGAAAAACTCCTAGACGTATTCTTGTCACAATGGATATGTTCAATGGACAACCAGTATTAGTTAAAAGCTCACAATTATATGAAACACATAATGATGGAGATTATCGACAAGCAATAGAAAAATTGAGTATTTTTCCAGATATTTTAATTGTAGATTTAGACGGAGCTTTTGGTGAAACAAATACAAAAAATCGACAAATCATTAAAAAATTAGCACAAAAATATCATGTTTTTACAGGTGGTGGTTTGCGATCATTAAATGACATTGAAGATGTACTTAAATCAAGTGTTCGTCGATGTGTTATAGCTAGTGCCAATGATGAATTAATTGCAAAAATACCAAAAGAACGTTTAATTGTAGAAATAAGTGTCAATGAACAAAATGAAGTACTTATTCATGATTGTCAAACAAATACTCATATTAATATAATTACAAGAATTAATCAGCTTATTCAAATCGGTGTTCATGCTATTAGTATTACATTTGTTCAAACAGAAGGATATTTATCAGGAATACCTCGTAAACAAATACAAGATCTTCTTTTAGAAATTCCTGAAAATATTAAAAGAATTTATATTGCTGGCGGAATAAGTACATTAGATGATTTAGAATATTTATGGTCATTTTCTCGTGTTATTCCACAACTTGGATCTGCAATATGGAAAAATAAATTGACTATTGGAAGTATATTTAATAGTATGATTAATTTTGATAATAATGGAACTGTATCAGCTATTATTCAAGATGTAAATGGATTAGTCAAAGGTTTATGCTACATGAATCGTCAATCAATTGAACAAACATGTCAAACAAGAAACTTATTTAGATATTCAAGAAAATTAGACAGAGCAATTATGAAAGGTGAAATATCTGGTGATATTCAACATGTAATTAAAATTAGTTTAGATTGTGATTCAGATGCTATGTTAATAACAGTTGATTCAAGAAAACCATTTTGTCATACAGGTTGACTCGTTATATTTTAAAAAAAGATTATTATTATTATTTTCTATTTTAGGTAGTCATAGTTGTTTTAGTTTACAAACAAATATTAAAGCAAATTTAGCTACATTAGCTGATCATATTAAATTACAAATAAATAATGATAGTTATTCAGGTATGATGCAAAGAAATCCACCATTAGCTCTTGCTAAAGTAATGGAAGAATTTTGGGAAGTAATGGCCAGTGGTCAAGATAATCAAGTTTCAGAATGTAGTGATTTATTTGTTCATCTTGTTATGTATTTAAATGGAATTGGTATAAAAATGGAAGATATTTTTAATGAATTAAATGCACGACGATGGACACCAAAAATATTAACAGAACAAATTGAAACAGCTGAGAAAAAATCTAATGAAATTATTATAGGAATAACTACTGCTAAATATACTGATAAAACAGATCGATTTGCTGAAGAGCAGCTAGGAATTAAAATAATTCGACATTCAGGTAGAAATCTACTTGTTGAAGGACAAATAATCGATCGAGACAAATTTGCAAAATATTTTGGTAATAATGAAAATATAAAGTTATCATTATTTACAAGTAAGCCAAAAGATATGGCATGGTTATTAGCATCAAAGCGTGTTACACATCTTATTACATTTGAAATTGTAGTTAAAAATTATCCAACAGTATATACTGTTATTCATGAAGCTATTGATCCAACAATTTCTCTTGCACTTATATGTCGTAAAGGTGCATCTATAGAACCTGAAAAGTGGACACGCCAAAACAAACCATTAATTGCTACTGAACATGTTTGTCATGTAGCAAGATTTTTTGAGCAAAACAATATAAATCCTCACACATATCATTTAGATAGAGTTACAGGTTCATCTGAAGGATTTTTAATCAATACAGATAAATATTTATTAGCTGATGCTGTTGTCGAAAGTGGAAGAACTCTTGAAGAAAATAATTTAGAAATATGGAAGGTTATTATACCACAAGGGCAAGTACATATTGCACTTTATGGACGATGTCATTAAACTTTCAACATGTTGAAAATTTATCATTAATAAAAACACTTTATATGTATGCACGTACCTTATGCTAATCAATAAAAGCATAGATAAAGTTTAATTATCAATGGATTTTCTGATCTTTGCGAAATTAACATGTTTTATAGCTTTGCATTAACAACGGAGATGAAGCAAATCTCTAATAGGTCAATAAGGTGATGAATGGCCAGCAATCATTTTCTAATAATTCATTTGCTACAAACATTATTGTTGTAGTTTAAAAGANCAATATCATGTGTAGATCAGCCAAAAACATTTGAACAGAGACTTAAAAATGCCCAAAAATTCAAAAAGAATTTTAATTTGGAAATGCCTATGCTTGTCGATGATATGAATAATACTTTTCTTAATACTTATGGATCATGGCCATTTCGTTTCTTTGTCATTTATGAAGGTGAATTGATATTGAAAGCTGAACCTGACAAAGAAACTTTTGCTTATGATTTGGACGAAATCGATAAATGGATTACGAATTTTTATGAATCAAATTCTTAAATTATTTAACAACTTTATTTGATTTTAAGAAATAGTACAACTGCTTTCTTCTTTCTATTTTCTATCAATCTATTTGATAGTCCTCAACAAAAAGAAAACTAACATGAACTAATGATGACTATGAATGCAAATCACATTTATGAATATTCATAGTTTGATAAACATATGTTATGTTTTTCGAGGAATTTTTTGCGCGTAAAAAATATTGGATAGATTTTGATGGAAATAAAAAGACAAAAAATCATTTGTACTTTTCTAAATATTTTCCTTTTTTTTTAATAAATATTGACGACATATGGTAAATCAATCATATTTAATTATTTGAAACTAATAAGTTTTGATAAAAATGCATATATATGAATATTGAAGTTTGTTTTAAATTGAAAAAGAAAAACATCCAACAAAATATTTATTTAAAAATCATATTTCGTAAATTACTATATTGTTTATTCTTTACATGCGTATTCATCGATTCAATAACGATTAAGACGATGCTCATGCATAAACTTTATTGAGCATATAAAAGCTAAAATATTGAGTTCTTTTTTATTTTGAGGAATTTCTCGAAAATTAGACATTATAAAAATGACTTAAGATTATGAATTATTTTTATGTATAAGAAAAAAATCATCGAATATATCAGCCGTAAGTGTAGGTAGACTTCAACAAATTTTTTTTTGTATTACAATAAGAATATCATAGAAATTGATTGATTTAATCAGTATGTTTCTAATGTAGTAAATAACATGAATAAATACACTATGCTTCCTTGTTAAGAAGAGTTCTATGATCAAATATAGTCATTGACATTATTATTTTTATCGATGAGTCTATGAATTTATATAAAATAAAAAATTCAAAAACTGCTTCATACATTCAGGTTTTTCGTATCATAAAGCCATGCATAGTTTTTAAGTATAGCCTCGATAAAGGGTGTGAGTGTGGGTGTGGGTGTGGGTGTGGGTGTGGGTGGAGTGTGGGTCTGGATGTGGGTGTGAGGGTGTGGGTATGGGTGTGAGTGTGGGTGCGGATGCTTGTGGATGTCGGATAAGAAAAGAGCCACATCCACACCCACACCCACACCCATCCTAATCTGAAGGTTTATACCATGACTGGCCAGGTAGTTGCTGTCTATATAAAGTCACATTAAAAAAAAGTTCATAAGTGTCCGTCCTTACTTAATCTTTTATACTTTATCTGTTTGAATCTCAGACTATTATCTTCTGTCATGTTTCCTAAATTAGAAGCGATAATATCCTTTGTAATACTGCTTTTATCTTTTTGATAATTCTAAAGTTTCCTTTTATTCAAATAACCATTTTGTTTTGCTGTTAAATTTCATAATTGAATATAAGAAGATTTTAATGAACGAGATGATAACACAAAAAAAAATTGATTTTCTATACTATCTGCATTTGTACAGGGTGGACCATTAATAATACGACAATCAGATATTTAAAATAGGATCCGCCAGAAAGTCGAGTAATAAATACAGACTTGGTTGGAGAAATTTTTTTTGATTTAGGCTTGCAGTATCTGAAAAGAACGATGATATAGAGTTCTTACTTAATCCAAAATAACATTTCTCAATGGCAAGCTCTTGCCTAGTTGTGAGGTTTTCTCTGAAAATTGACCACGTTGAGCTAAGAGAAAAAAGATCATATTTCGTAGATTTTTGCATGCTTCAAGAGAATCTCAAAAAATTGCACTATTTTGAGCACTGATATAATGACAAATGACTTCAAATGAAAGACCGTCTTCTTTCCTATCAGATTACGTATATTTTGACTTTCTGTGGATATCATCATGTGGAAAAAAAAGGAGCTAGCAAGATGAATGTTTGAAAGAAAAATACGCTCTTTTTCTATGTTTTCATGATGTTTTTCTAAAGTTTATTTCCATTCATATGAAGGTGAGAGTGAGGGTGAAGTGCTATTTAAATGTATTCTTAAATTTAAATCATGAAAATGGATTTTTTTTGGATAAAGAAAAATATGACAGAGAATATTTAACACATGTGAGACGATTCTGTTTTCATACAGAAATCGATAGAGATACTCGTTATCACCAAGAATAAACTTTTAGTAAATGCACTTAGTGGGTTTTCTTTCTGTTTTATCGACTTTTTGCTGTCCTTCTTTTTTTGTACAATTATTTAGTGAATCAGATCTCGTGTCCAGTTGTGCAATAACTCAAGTTATTTTTTCATTGCGTAATATGTAGTATACATTACGTGTGAGATAAGGATAGGAAGCTTCTAGATTTTTCTGTTAAATTCGTGTTTATTCTGTTCATTGCTGCTCAGCAGTATAAAAGCGATCAAAATTGTCAGAAGTCTTGAATATTTTACAAGTCATCGAAAGCAGCCAGTACAGAAGATAGCGTTGACTCATCCATTATTGTCAGTTCTTTGGATGGTGATTTTGCTGGAATGCACTTGGAATCTGCAAATTCCGACGAAGAAGTCACTGATGATAAGGTGAATTCAAACGTCTGGAGTCAAACAGAATCAGAACCTGATGGTGAATTTCTAGAAGATCATGGAATTGTTGAACAAGTAACGTCAACTTCTAAAGATCGCACAATCAATCCTATCGATTGCTATCGACATATTATCACTGAAGATATTATAAGCTTTATGGTTCGCGAAACTAATAGATATACAGAACAATACTTATTAACATATAAACTTAGCAAACGATCAAAAGCTCTTTAATAGGAACCAACTACCAACGAAGAAATGCTGAAACTTTTGAAGATAGTCATCGAGATGAGTTTAGTGCAAATGCCAAAGGTAGACTACTACTGGGAATGTGGGTTTGTGGTGTGGGATCGGGTGCGAATGTCGCTGTATGTGAAGAATATCATAGTCACACCCACATCCACCCTATAGTAGAATAGAAACTATACCCGATACGAACATCGAAACTAATATACTTATTATTCACAGAGAACAGATTCTAGGTTCTATGAATTCAAAAAATATCTTTGCAATTTCCGATGGAAATCATTCTACTAGCGGGACTACCCAACGCTTCTTTTATTTAAATGAGTTCAGAATTAAAATGATGAATGTGACACAGAGTAAAGCAATTAGATCTAAAAATAAATTCGAAAGAATCATTTTTTCTTTTTTTATATTAATTGTTCTCGATGCAAGTTTATAATACATGAAAAGAGGAAATAATCGAAAACAGTAAGCATAACAAAAAAAAACGAAAAACACAAATGTCTTTTATATTAATTGACAATTTGAACATTGTAATAGAGAAGTTTTTCTTCATCAGCAGATAATGTTGTTTTACATTCAAATATTGTCCCATCTTGTGTGCATTCACCATTAGATGTTAGTAATTGCACCGATCGACCACGAATTATTTGTTTATATAGCACATTTATTGATCGATTATTCTTAAAATTTTTTAGCAGAACAGTAACATTGTAAATCGATTCTGTTCGTCGTTCAATGGTATTGTTTGCTTGAATAGTTTCATTGTATGTACGTGATGAAATTAACATAGCAGTTTCGTTGTAAGAAATATCTGGATCTTGACCAATTGAAAATTCATGTGTCTCTTTAGAAGCTATCTCTGGTAAAAATGTTTCACCAACCAGATAATCATATTCATGTATCATACAATTTCCTCGAGGAAGAAAAACATCAGATGACAAACGGTATGTACGTTCACCTTTACCGATGGATTTTCCAATACCATAAAAATACGTTTTATAAATACGTACAAAACGTGTCACGTTCACTTGTGGACGAAACATTGTTAAAAGATAATTTGTTTTTGAATCAATAGAAAATGATTGATTCACAGTATATACATATAGACCAGCAACTTCCTGACCCTTTTCCACTGTTGGTGGAGATTGCGACTCGTCCTCTTCAGGTATACCGTCGTAATACTTTTTTAGTGCCCTAGGATTTGGTTGTTCAGACATTTGTAAATTAATATCACCAGCTAAAAGTTCAGCGTATTCGATATTAATGTTTGATCTTCCATCATTTCGAATATCAGCTATGGCAATCAATATTGGTTCCTCTGATTCGTCAAATAGATATAATTGATAACGCGTTTTCCAATTAAGGTTTGAACGAAGATAACTAACATATACTGTATCTGTTGTATGATATGTAAAATTAACATAATATTTTGATTGAAGTGGTTTATTAGTATAAAGTATTTGATCAGATGAAACAGTAAAAAAGACTGGTTCTTGACTAATATTATTATCAATAAATTGAACAAGATTTATATTTTCATCAATCAGTGTTGCTTGGAGAAATTTTATTTCTGTTGATGAAGATGATGGTGAACGAACATAAATGGTTTGATTGTTAAGTGAGTTTTTCTTTTCAGTAATTGTTTGTCGTGTTATATTGACATTGGAGCCAATAAGAGTCAATGAATCAGAACGAATTTCAGACCAGTCGTCCGCAGAAAACTCCAGTGGTAACTCACCAAGTGGCTGAATAATTTGAGCAAGATTGGAATAAATTTTCACTTTTGCCAATATTTGTTGATCATTGGTGGTTGATGTAAAAGGGTTTTCGTCATATGTTATAGTATTGATGTCGGATATTAATACGACTAGTAGATGCAGGAGTAGAAGAACTTTCATACTGAAATAAAAGGTGATTATATATGATGAATATCTTTTTCTATTGAGAAACCCATGAGATAGAGTGATTTGAATCAAGTTTTTCCATGGGAATATTTTTCACTTTCTTCAGTTCCTTTAGAAATTCTGTTTTAAGCGTTATTGTCTAGAAAAAAATCATTTGAATCAAGAAAAACATTTAGAAGTTCAACAATAGATGACTGTAAGACAGTTGAGTCGCGGTACGTTTATTGGAGAAATAAATCAACAGATTCATCTCCTACTTTAACAATAAGTTTACAATTTCAAATCATCTTGAACGGCAGAAAAGAACGCAAAAAAAGTAGTATCCTTTGCCTTTTATCCAAAGCAAAAGCCGCACATTATAATATAAAATCAACAAAAGAATTCGTTTATTTCATGATCAGATAAGAGTAACACCATAACTTCAAGCTTCAATGCGGAAAACGAGAATAATTGAATTTGGAATACTGGTCAAGAACTTATGCAAATATTACAATCGATCGAAGGTTATCAAAATTTATTACCCATTATCTTGAAAGAACCAGATGGATACAATCTCTTCTGTTGCTCTGATACATATCAATGTATGCGCCTTGCAAAGTCCAATAGCGGAAACCTATCTAATGGGTTAAATCAAAATTCTTCGACTTCGATTTAACTTAATAATAGAATGAGGATCACCATTCGAATATTTTTTTTATTATGAATGAAAATAAATTATGATGAAATGAAAATCGCCATAAACGCCAACCCTGTTTTATTTTTGTACGAAATTTGCTATTGTCGCTCTTCATAAAAAGCAACCTCTTTCTATCTTCATAATGCATCTGACGACATCTCACTTGAATCGAAAGCAATCATTGCAGTTCGAATTCATATCTCTTATTTTTATCGATGTTTTTTAACCGTTTCATCAGTTATTTCCTATTTTCTAATACAATTCCTAAGATTAATACACTAAGTTTCCTCACAACAGAATTCCATGTGGCCAGTCCCGTGCCATAGCTTATACTTGCACACGTCGCACGATTCTTGTTTTTCTCAGGCAGACTAGATCGATAAAACGACGCATAGTAATGCGTTAAAAAAGTGTCTTTGTAAATAAATAGCGAGTTCAAAGATGATAAGGCTCACAAACTTGCTTTTTTTTTCAAAAATAAAAATCGCTTTTTTGAGCTTCTTTTTACCGTTAAAAGTGCATATTCTTATGCGTTATTGCTCACTAAATTAAGCACTTCACTGCCTGAGTACTATGTGGAAGCATTAATTCGTTTGTTCAGTGTCCTTCTTTAGGATTTGCCAAACAATGAAACAAAACAACATACGCTTCGTGCAAAGTTAGGTAACTTAGGATAAGCGAGCGCTATAGCAAGGAACAGTACGAGACTTGTTCTGCGAACCCCTGTCTCATAGTCTAGAAGACTGTTAGACTTCGAATCCGTGCTGAAAATTATAAGTTTGAAGAAGAGCTTGCATTGATACGAACTTTTTTCGTGCTATAATCGGAACTACATTAGCTCACAACTATGGCTACCAGTTTTCAATTCTATTTTTGAGAAAAGAAATGACAAAAGTATTCTTGTTTCTAAAAATATGAAACTCACTTGTGTGGTAGTATTCTTTGGAAGAGAGAAACACATTTTATTTCAATATTATCAGATTATTCTAACAATCTGAACTGATCAGAATACTCAGAAATCTATCAGTAGTGACGCGGTGTGACTTTATTTTATTTTATTTTTAACAATTCAATCTTTTTCTTACAAAAATTGACCTCAAAAGACTTTGGCAATGCCTGAAAACTATGATCTTCGTTATTTTATCAGTTTGCAAAGAAAAATGTCATGATTTAACATTAAAAAATATGTTATGTCCAAAGCGATAATAGTGTACTTTTCATGAAAGGTTTTACCGATTTTTCCGAACTATTAGGGTTAATTTATGTAGGGTACTGCTTTCATCTTCATCATGCTTTTCGAGATGTAAGAATTTTGGATCAAAATGTTAAGTTAACAAAGGTTTAATTACTGGACAACATTACCGTCAACTCTTATGTAGACAACTCTAAAGTCTGTACGGATAGTTAACACCTACCTGTTTTTGTTCAAACTGCGCTGATGACGTATGTATAATATATGACTACAAAGAGTGAACATGATCATTCAACATATTCATTTAGTTCGCTTCTTTTTTATATGTGCTTATTTTGAATAGAGTAGATCTATATAATGTTTGACATATCATAATGCCAAGACTGAACTTCTTCTCTACTAGAAGATTTAGCATGTGTTGAAATATTTTCTGCCTTCTTCAATTGTAACTTTGTTTACGCTGACGAAAGAACATATGTGTACATATTTCTCAAATAAAAAAGGTAAAATACTCAAGTGCCTATGAATCTTGAACAACACGTGAGATCTTTCTTAGGTATTTACTAACAACTTCTTCATCTTTCCTCAGTCGCTGTCACTCTTGGCAATAGATGATGACTTAAGCGTATTTCACAATAAGTGTTTTTTCTCGATCTAGTGTTTATCGAGTTAGATTATATTGATATTCTCTTACTCACATATTCCTGCTATCAAATCAGAGATCATATTTTGAGGATACATCTAGCAATTTTAATAGACGATTGATTAATTTAGAGCACTCTATATATTTAGACAGATGCTAGAAATAAGCAAACAATATGAAAATAGAAAGGACACTTACTTTTAGAATCTTGTAAAATTCACTTTTATATTTCTTTTAATTTTGTGTAAGTATATGCTGTCGTTTTTCATATATATATAGGTCCTTATATACATCAATATTCAAAAACGTCATTGACATCAATTGCGCACATTGAATATTATAAAGCAATAAAAATAATCATGCATGATGTTATTTCAATATTTATTAATTTTCTTCATGAATGCTATTTTAATACTTTTGCTTGATTGAAATACAGATACGTATTTTCGTAGACACATGAATGAACTTACATAAACTACCCCAATTACCAATCATTCGGATGCTTACTTTGTCACTTTTTTTAGAATCAAATATCGATTAATTCAGTTGCTTTGCTTTTGCGTCTTTCTTTGTAAAGGTTATACAGTAGTTAATATATGTAAAAAGGTTGTTTGACAATGCGAATATATCTACGCATGTCAATTTACATTTACTTTCAGTATAATATTCTTACAAATTAAATAAAGACAGATTTCAATTCTAAATTAGTTACATTTTTGTAAAACAACTTTATTTTATTTTTAGTTTAAATGATACTATTTCTTTATAGTACTTAATGGAAGAAATATGTTCTATTTTCAACATTACATGTATCTATACAGTTTCTCCACAAACAGTGACAGATTTAGAGAAAAGACATGGGGCGATCACCTTCACTTCCAAAAGTTTAAGCACACGAGAAAAAGTATGCTTTTTGTTTTTAAAATTATTAATCATTATCAGAATATGATAATTGAATTATTTAATTTTATATCTTCATATTGTACAGAAAAAGTTATTCATGTTAATAGGTGTGCGTATGGGTGGTAAGCATCTGCACAGCCACTATTTTTCAGTCTCGGTTCCGTCCAAATTCTGGTTCTGATCTTAAATAAAAACCATGTATTGACTGTTCATTATGACTCATTTAATGAAAAAACTGGTTAGGTTATTGGAAAATTTTGATCTTTAAAGATAAAATTAGGACACCACAAAAATCTTGTTGACATTGTTGAAGAATTCTAATTTCTAGATAGCTCATCAAAAACAGAAATAAGAAATATCAAAATGTCTAGTCTGGTCTGGTCTATCGCCTATTTAAAAATAACAGGTCGGTGGATATTTTTTGAATAATTTATTGATAGAAGCACTGTAGAGAGCTGCTGTTTTCATCATTGAAAAGGGAAGACGGAGACGCATCGAAATATATATTACAGATGATTTGACCTAGTTTTATCACGAATTTGAATCAACATTTTTGAAAGCCTACATATCTCGTCAGGTGTCTAAGGCTAATTTTCAATACTCAGATACGCATTCTAATCACTAAACGAAGATCTTTAAAACTACATAAGGCCTCAACTTTACGCTTACCCGTTCAGGAGTTGTAGACATTTTACGTGAAACTCTCAACCGTTTTTTCTATGAAATTCTGTAAAAATGATCACTTTTTAAAGTTTTTCTTATTTTTAGAGAAATCGGCATTCCTTTTCGTTTTTCAGAAAATTGATTAATAGAACTTCAGACAACATCTTAAAGAAATGTGTAATTTACCATTTGATTCATCGTTATCTCCTCTTTGCAACTGTGAAAACTGCTATTCTCTGAGACGATTTTATCAGAAGTTATTGTAGATCCCGGAAAGAGCACACACACTCACACTCACACCTACACCCACCCATCAAAACATGAGAGAGTATATTAGTGTGCACATATGTAATACCAATAAGCCTTAGATACTGAAAAATATCCTTCAAAATAATCTCGGAGAGTACAATAAGGCATTAGCATATGCGAATTTAGCTGTTAGTGTTGCTGACAAGCATTATCCATCAAATGATCAAGACAAAGTTTTTTTTTAAACAACATTTTTTAATAGTTTATCTCTCAAATGTCTTTTAAAACAATACAAGGAATAGGCAGAATCGATTCATCTGATCTTTTTTTAAAAGTTATTTTTCTGCTATTTTTCTTCAGGATTGCAATAAACTCCGACGTAATTGTTGTTCTCAGCAAGTACGATCAAAGAAGAGGTGTAAATGTGAAAATAATCTTCAGTCACACATACTCAGATATATAAAACATCCAAATCGTTCTATTTCAATATGTGACGGTGAATAAGAAGTCGTTTCGCTGATTTTAATAAATTCTTACATATGAAAAATACGAGTCTTGTAATAAAATGAACTGAAAATGATTGGAAATCATTAATTAAATATACCAGAATTACTAATAAATTATACGAATTACGAAGATTTATTTCTCGTATGAAAAAGGAATGCATA